GTGTGTGTGCATGGGTGGGCATTGTATTTATATATGGGTGGGCAGTGTATGTATATGGGTGGGCAGTGTATGTATATAGGTGGGCAGTGTACGTATATGGGTGGGCAGTGTACGTATATGGGTGGGCAGTGTGTGTGTATGGGTGGGCAGTGTATGTGTATGGGTGGGCAGTGTGTGTGTATGGGTGGGCAGTGTATGTATATGGGTGGGCAGTGTATGTATATGGGTGGGCAGTGTGTGTATATGGGTGGGCAGTGTATGTATATGGGTGGGCAGTGTGTGTATATGGGTGGGCAGTGTGTGTATATGGGTGGGCAGTGTGTGTATATGGGTGGGCAGTGTGTGTATATGGGTGGGCAGTGTGTGTATATGGGTGGGCAGTGTGTGTATATGGGTGGGCAGTGTATGTATATAGGTGGGCAGTGTATGTATATAGGTGGGCAGTGTGTGTATGGGCCTGCTTACCTGTACAATGTGATGTTTTTCTTCCTCCAGCAGCAGTGGGGCAGACAGGCTCCTTCTCACCCTCCATCCACGCTGTATGTGTGCTCCGTGTGAGAGGGAAGCAGGGGGTGATGTCACTTCCTGCCCCGCCTCCCATCCTCACACGGAGCACAGAGCAGGGGGAGAGAGAGAGAGGAGACCTGGCAGTGGAAGGTGTGCTGCCAAGTCTCACACTGAATGGGGAGGGGTATTTGCAGACTGTTGGGTTGCAGGGGCCCTTAGAGTCATTATGGGCCCCTGCAACCTTATTACAGCGCTTTCTTACTTCTGCTGTGGAGATCTCTGATCTGATCTCCACAGCAGAAGCATGACTGAGCTGCCGGGCCCCCTGACTGACTCGGGCCCTCGGTCCATGACCGATCTGCCCGACCTGTCAGTCCGCCCCTGCTGACATGCATTCATGCCAGGCTGACCTTCCAATTCTTTGGACAAACATGCCCCTTTTTGGGCATGTTCACCCCTTTTGGCAGGCCTTGTCACGTGATTCGCGCCAGTGGCACACCCTTTTACCCCGCCCATTGTCTTCCTGCTTCACTGGACACTGCTGTTAGGGGGGTATGGATTTACTTGAAAGATGAAAGCATAAATTAGAGAGAAATTAGCATAGAGTATGTGTTTTCTTATAGCTGCATCCTATGAGTTTCCCTCCAGCACCATCTCCATCAGATACATGAGGTATGATTGTTTTAGTTTTTTTGGTCGATAAGATTCCGTAATTAGGCCCATCATAATTGTCAGCACCAGGCCCACTGTGCTCTTAATCCGGCCCTGCCCACCGCTCAGGGGTGGGGGCCAGCGGGAAGGACATTAGGTCCCTCCCCCCAATTTGTATTTAGGGCCCCCACCCACCGCTCAGGGGTGGGGGCCAGGGGGAGGACATTAGGTCCCCCCCAATTTGTACTTAGGGTCCCCACCCACCGCTCAGGGGTGGGGGCCAGGGGGGAGGACATTAAGTCCCCACTTCTTATTCTAGTTTAGGGCCCCCACCCACCGCTCAGGGGTGGGGGCTAGGGAGGAGGACAATAGGTCCCCCCAATTTGTATTTAGGGCTTCCACCCGCCGCTCAGGGCCGCTTAGTATTAGTAAATTTGGCTGAAAGACCAATTTAGGTCTTTCAGCCTTTTGGTAGATAACTCCCTAATACCGTGGGAATTAGGGAGTTATCTACCAAGCGGCTGCAAGAGAAGTCCAGAAATGCCGGAGTTCCGAAGTTCCAAAGTGTCTAAGTTCCAAAGTGCCGAATTGCCGAAGTCCCGAATTGACAAAGTCCTGAATTTTGGAATGCCGAACCGAGCTGAATAATTTCCCCATGCACATGCCTAGCGCGTATATTTTGGCGAAAAGTTTTGCCTTGTTTAAGAGTGATATGGGACGGAAATTTTGTGGGTGGGCGTCTTTCCTGGTTTCAGGAGTGTAATGATATGTGCCAATAGTGTCTCTGGGGAAAGTGCTTGGTTTATAACTGCCTCGTTAAAGGCTTCCGTTATATAAGGTGCTAAAGTTTACTGGAAGTGCCTGTAATAAAAATTTGCGAAGCCGTCTGGCCCTGGTGCCTTCCCCATGTGAAGAGACCTAATGACCTGGAGCACCTCTTCTACCGTGACCGGGGAGGTGAGTTCTTCTTGCTGTGTCATTGTCAAGTGTGGTAGTGAGATAGAGTCCAATTAAGTCTGAATTGTCCTATCTCGCGGTTGTACTGTATCTGGGTCTGCTTTTAGATTGTATAATGCCTCATAGTATTTGGCAAATTGGTCACTAATGTCTTTTGGGCCTATTATCTTGTCTCACCCTGGGGCTACCAAGTATGCAATTTTTTGATTTGTTCTTTTGTCCTGTAATCACTGGGCTAAGAGTTTACCGGCTTTTTTATTGGGCATTCAATTGCTTCAACTTGTATCCCATCTTATCTATCACAATACTTTGTAACTGTTTGAAATTTGGTATTGCGTGGTGTAATAAACGTTTAACTCGCAAGTTGGAATAAACTTGGAATTAATAATAACATTAATAACTAAAAATAATAACTTAAAATAATAACTTAAAAACCGAGTGTAAAGTCAGAGTCCACACTCCTTGCTTTCGGCAATTCAATAATATTTATTAATAAAGGCTAATCAAACAAATAAACAATACATATACATTTGAAATAGGCTAGTATATGTTGCTACTAAAACTAATCATTGACTGAATGGAAAGTAGGCTAAATTAACATAGTAAAACAGACATAGACACGTGATACAGTTACCACTCCATTGATCAGCAGCTGAGAGTAAGAGAGAGAGGGTGTGTATAGTGGGGAGAGGGGAGAGAGGAGAGAAGGTGAAGAGAGGTAATTCAAAGAGAGAGAGAATGTGCTATTCACAAGGCTTTAAACAGGTTAGCCCCTCCTTCTGCTGGACACACCTCCCTTAGTCAATCCCTTAGGATGTAACAGAACCAGAGTGCCTCCTGGGGGAAGGGGGATTGCATTGGAAGGGAATGGAGGAGGAGTTTATCAACAAACCAACTGATTTTGCCTGGTGAAAGGCCATGTGCTTCACAGAGGACTCCATTATTGCCTAAGGGTAGAATGGGGGCTTGAATCCCTGTATTAGAACACAATAACACTTCATTGGCATACAGTTTGGCTGTTAATCACATCCCCCCACTTATTACATCCCTCCTATTGGCAATGAAGTGGATGAGACACTTAGACTCTATAAAACCCATCAGAGATAAGAGAGAGAGATAATGCATCCTGTGTATCTACTTATGTGAATGCACAACCCATTGTCACAATAGAGCTCTTTCCATTTACATATCATATTGGAGATGATATACTCTAACAATCAATGACTTCAAGTAACAACACATACCAACCTGATTAAAAATGCATACTATAGAAAACACACAATACAATAATAAATGGGTGAATTAATACATTTTCCATGGCAGTACCCCATGATGATTGGTTTCGGAAGTGAGTTTTTTTTTATTTCTTCCACCAGGTAGTACTAGCCATGTCAGTAAATAAATGTTCAGTTAGTTAAAGTTCTTGTTGTTGATGAAAGAACTCAGCACAGGTTTGTTGATCCTTCTGTGTCCAAACCTCCATTAAAGTATTGATAGTTCTCTGAATTTAACACCCTCAGACTGGAGTGTTGCAGTCATACTATATATATCAATTATATTTACAAAACCCAACCCAGTACCCACACCTCCCAGAACCGTACCCAAGACAACCCTCCTATTCCTAGTTCTACTTCTTGTCACCCATCTGACTAAAACCTTATTAATAGTGGATGTGACCCTAGAACAGTTCTGAAAGTGTGATGAAACTAGCCAATCTGTTAGTCGAATCAATTGGAAAGTAACATTCCTAACTATAGGGGTAGGTCTCAGTGAACATATTTGGAAATTACCACTAGAGACCACTCTAATCTTCTGACACTCAGGTCTGCTCCCATTATCCATTAGTGAAGGAGTTGTATGAATATAGGTGAAAGGAGGAGTCAGGATTGTAGGCTCTATCTCTTCCTCTACATTCAACAAGACCTTCAATTCCCCACCCCTATTGTGTCTTACTGTTCCCCAATTTATCCCCTTTATGATTAATGTATCCACTATAATTAGTGTTATATGATACTCTCTAAGATTGTTATTAATATTATAACTAGGGTTAGTAACATTTCATAACATTTCATTTCATATTAATATTTCCTCCCTCCAGATCTACAACCAGTTTTCCCCAACCAGTTCATATTCATTCCCATTTTCCTCAACCAGTCCATATACATTCCCAATGTTCTTAATTTCCCTTATTGTCTTTTCCAAAATCCCTTGAAAGAATCACGTTGCTTTAGCCAAACAATCTTGACCACCCACCCAAAATTAAATGTCACATCTACATATGGAACTTGTAGATTGTCACTGCTGTCCTCTGTTAAGTCTTTGGTAGATCGAGCTGCATTTGCATAGATACAGCTGTTGTTGCTTTGGCCTGTGACAAGCTGTTCCATCACTTTCCAGGTGAGTTTTAGCATGTTGAGTGACATCCATGTCTCGGTACTTTTGGAAAAATCTGTAAGAGATCAAGAAGGCGTATCAGTTCTTAGCAGATAACTCTGTACCTGGGGAACAAGCCCCTTTTTATAAATTACGTTGGACTACATGGACTGACTTGTATAGACCTCTGCATTTTTACAAATGTTTTGCCCAATGTTTCTAGGATTACATAGGGCTCTTCCCAATTTGCATCCCAGGGATAATTTTGATAAAATGTTTAATCTTTATTACGCCTACCCCCCCCCCCTTTCTCAAACAGAGTTTGAGGAGTAGATACAATTTTACAATTTGTTGGGGCCATATATGAGACCCCCCTTGGACAGTGTAAGTGCACCTATGAAATCATTCTATATAATTCCAGGGGCTGTCTGCAACTGGCACTCTCTGATGCATAGGCCTTTGTTGCTTAGGGCATGGATATAATTTAACATAACAACCCTTCTTTTATAGAATTACCACTTTGAAGTGTTTGATGGTTCTGTAATAAAAGAGAAAGATTAGGATTCCTATTCAGTTCTGCTTTTAAATCTGGCACTTCTGAACCTTGATCAACTCTCTTGGCTATCCGTAATTAGTTCTTTGCATGTGAAGTGCTCCTCCCATGCTTGTTGTACCTCAGGATCTTTTACATGTAAATACCATTGATCTCCATCTAAGACAGCCTCCCTTGCTAACAAATTCAATTGTGCATTTGAATGAGTGTTTACTGCTGACTGGAGGGGGTGCTTTAGTTTCCCAAGATTCCATTTGGACAGATAGTTTGATCTGGTGGCATAAGCAATGTCACTATGGATACAAATAGGGCATGTGTCAAATTCCTTTGAGAAATTTACAAGTCCCAAAAAACTTCTTTAAGGATTGTTTGTTAAAAGGTCTGGGGACTTGTAAGATTGCTATCACTCTTTAATTGGGCAGCTGTGATAGCTACTCCCAAAAATGTTACCTTTTGTGTGAGCAACCTTTGAAGTGTTTAGCTTAACTCCAGGATTTTCCAATTAAGCCAAAAAATTCAGTTTAAAAAAAAAATTAATATGTTGTTGTTTTGCCCCAGAAGGTGGACTTAGTGATAGGTCAGTAAGTCTCACTGAAGCTCCTGTGTTAGTACAATTCTTTGTCTGTTGCCTTGCCATAATTTCATTCACGTAAGGGCGTCCTGCATGGTCCATAAATGTTTTACAATTAGGAACCATACCATCCAGTTATAGTTATTCCAAAAATGAAATCAGAGGAACTTCACCCTCTTCATTCATTTTAGAATTGCTAGTCACTGTTCCCTGTACAGTCATCATTCTCAGAGCCTCCCGCGCAGGACCATATAGATTGGTCTTAGGCAGGGGGTGAGAATGGCGTCCCTGACCTGTTTTATCTGGGGGTTTATTTCGGTCAATCTTATCATGTACCTTTTGATCTATTCTTTCTTTGAAAGACCCAAAGGGATAAGCATGCCATCCCTCAGTTATCCTTTGATCTATCTTTGCCTTTCTACACTCACTCTGTCTATGACCACATTTGTTGCAATAATAACAAGTCCCTCTGAATGGAATCTCTGGGAGAGCTTGCCTCCCTTCATTAGTAGCCATAATTGCAATATTGTGGTGTAATGTAACACCTTTCCTAATTAAATTTTGTCTAGCTTTTCCTATAATAGTTAGAACTCCTTCCAGAGTGTCTTTTTCCTCTGCTATCATTTGCACTTCGGGATCTAAATAAGTGAATTTTTTTATCAGGTATTGCAGTAAATCAGGAGGGGTTTGGTCTTGTGGTATACGGTGGGTTAATCTGTACACTTGTTCAAATTTAGATGCAAAAACCCAAGGATCATCCTGTAAGTGTACCTTCATTTCATCGAGTGAATGACTGTCTAAATCTCTTTCTCCGGTAATCAATTTGGAGATTGCTCTAAGTCTGTCTCCTTCTGTCCCCCATTTGTCCTCTTTGAACCAATCTTGATCCCGATTAATGGGCCCATTTATGGGTGAATTTAGTCTGCATGCAATGCTGCTTGGTGCCCACATTTTAAGCATAATACATGCTTCTTTAGGAGAGAGCATATATTGTTTGACTGCAGATTCAAAGTTGGACATATTCGAAATTACATCTATTTTGCAGTCATATGGGGGGAAAAGGGATCTTAACTTAACAAGCTGTTTCATTACTTTATCCCTATCTTGCTGCTGTAGAATTTTAGCAGTCTGCAGGGTGGCAGATGCCCTGCTTTTAACAGTCGGTGTAATGGACAAAGGGTCCCTAAAAGGTGATGCTGTTGGTTTAGTTATATGGGGGGTTAATACAGGAATACCACTAATATCAAACCCATCCAGTACAAGGTTTCCCCTGTTTACCCCTTGGTCCTCATTTCCTGCAATACCAGATGCCTCTTCTTCCTCTGCACACACATCCCCATGGCCACATACAGCAACTGGGGTTTGTGCAGCTAAACCTGTTCTAAGCGATGAAATTAGCTCTCCTCTCGCTTCATAATTGTCCTCTAATGTACTTACATATTCTGCATTTAAGCCACAAGTTGGACAATCACTATATTTCTGAGTACTACTTTCTATACAAGCCACAGTAGTGTGCCCCAGAAGTATCCGATTTAATTGATTTCTTAATAACAGCAACAATTTCATGCAATTTTGGATTTTCTGTTTATCCTTATTCAAACACCATTTTTTATTATCTACTCTCACGTTCTCTTTTTCGCATTGTAACCACATACTATGCATTTTCTTAAATTCATTTTCATTTTCAAACATTAGTGGATCAAAACTGCTAGACGCTGCATATTCTGCTACAATTTCCATTCTTAAAATAAAGCTAAAAGTACTTACACGATTTGTGTCTTCAGACTGCAGGCAAATCAAATGGTGTGCACCCCACTTTGAATCCTTGGTCTGGCTATCTCCGATCCTCCAGAAGTGATGGCCGGCTTACAAACTGCGTCTCACTCTGGTTGCCTCTGGCCCTGGACGTATTGCCGAAAACGCTCACAAAAAATAAAACAAAAATTGGTTCGGTTATTTTGTCCCCTTTTATAGCTCACATGTATCTGGAGAAGACTGGATTGTTCCCCCCTTGCAAGTGAGCTTAAAAGGTGGTAGAAAATAATAACATGGCTCGCCAAATGTAATAAACGTTTAACTCGCAAGTTGGAATAAACTTGGAATTAATAATAACATTAATAACTAAAAATAATAACTTAAAATAATAACTTAAAAACCGAGTGTAAAGTCAGAGTCCACACTCCTTGCTTTCGGCAATTCAATAATATTTATTAATAAAGGCTAATCAAACAAATAAACAATACATATACATTTGAAATAGGCTAGTATATGTTGCTACTAAAACTAATCATTGACTGAATGGAAAGTAGGCTAAATTAACATAGCAAAACAGACATAGACACGTGATACAGTTACCACTCCATTGATCAGCAGCTGAGAGTAAGAGAGAGAGGGTGTGTATAGTGGGGAGAGGGGAGAGAGGAGAGAGAAGGTGAAGAGAGGTAATTCAAAGAGAGAGAGAATGTGCTATTCACAAGGCTTTAAACAGGTTAGCCCCTCCTTCTGCTGGACACACCTCCCTTAGTCAATCCCTTAGGATGTAACAGAACCAGAGTGCCTCCTGGGGGAAGGGGGATTGCATTGGAAGGGAATGGAGGAGGAGTTTATCAACAAACCAACTGATTTTTCCTGGTGAAAGGCCATGTGCTTCACAGAGGACTCCATTATTGCCTAAGGGTAGAATGGGGGCTTGAATCCCTGTATTAGAACACAATAACACTTCATTGGCATACAGTTTGGCTGTTAATCACATCCCCCCACTTATTACACGTGGTGAAGGTATATAATGCCA